CCGGCAACATTGCAGCTTCTTCCTGGAGGCCTTGCAGCCTTGTTCAGCAAGGTAACAGAGTAAATCTTCTGAGGTGCACTCAATAGTCGGGAGATCATCAGCACAGAGGAAAAGGTCATCCACGTATAGGAGAACTACATTAGTGTGGGTCTTTTGCCATGGGTCCAGAACAGAGGCCACAGCTTTTGCAAATTGACTTGGCGAATTCTGTGCCCCTTGAGGCATGACAGTCCATGTGTACTGCTGACGGTCATGAGTGAATGCAAACAGATATTGACATGAAGGATCCAGGGGCACACTGAAGAAGGCATTAGCTAAATCAATCACTGTGAAGACCTGTACTGTAGGTGGAACTCCTGACAGAAGAGTATGAGGATTAGGAACAATAGGGGTATCCAGAACGGTTACATCATTAATAGCTCTGAGGTCTTGAACCATCCTGTACTTTTCTGGCTCACCTTTTTCAGTCTTTTTCTTCACAGGAAACAAGGGGGTATTTTAGGGGGATTCACACTTGACCAGGGCACATTTAGCCAGCAGGCTTTCAACTTGCTTGGAGATAGCAAGGGCTTGGGCAGGCCTCAGAGGGTACTGTGGTTTCTGGGGTGGGTTGGCACCTTGGAGTAGCTTCACATGAACGGGGGGAACTTGGAGACGTCCAATGTCATCAGGGCCAGTGGACCATAATTTAGCGGAGATTTTGTCGAGGGCACTGGGGGTGTCTAGGACGCTTGCTTCCCTATTGGGTGACTCCAAATGGAGCAGGAGGGGCAAGGAGCAGAGAGTTGATGTATCAGTAGTGGATAGGGGGGAAGACAACTGTACCTGGCTGTCTGGGGTAAAAGATATAGAGGCCTGTAGGTGGGAGAGGACATCTGCTCCCAGCAGGTTAATAGCGCAGGTAGCTGAGACAATAAACCGGGATAGAAGGTCGGGGAAAGTGCCCACTCGTAAGGGCTTAGTTAGTGGACTGCTGGGGGGGGGGGAGTGCCATCTACAGCTACACAAGAAATATCAATCTTAGACAGGAAAGAGGAGTCAGGCAGGTCTTGTTCTCTAAGGACGCTACGGGCTGCGCCTGTGTCAACTAAGAAGGTGGTGGGGTGGCCTTCTATAGGTAGGACCACCGTAGCTAAGGGTCCCCCTTTATCCCCTGTAGACACTGCTATGACACGGGTAGATGACACAGGTTTGCCAGTTACCTATTGCAAAAGATCTGGGTGAGCCTGCTCAGGGCCAGTGTAGGAGCGGCTGGGTGCTGCATGATGACTGGGTTGCTGAGCACATTGTGTAGGGTGCTGGTGACTGGGGATGGGGTGATTAGCAGGTGGATAGCCATCTGTATTATAGCTGTGGGCCAAAGGCGGGGGATAGTCAGCCACGGGGAAGGGTGGTCTTACGGCCTGTGGATACTGTCTAGGGACCCTAGGGGCGGTACAATCCTTCCTGAAGTGACCGGGCTGATTTCAGTTAAAACAGACTCTCATCTGTGGCCTAGGAAGTTGGCCAATGAGTGGACCTGAAGGTGGGGGTACGGACCCAGGGGCCGGAGCAGGTCGGATGGCAGGGTTATGAAGTGAAAACATGAGGGGAGCGGTCTTTCTAGGTTGGGGTAACTAGGAAGACTCCAGGCCCTTAGCAACCAGGAGTAGGGTATCTAAAGGAATTATCCTGTACTCGGGGCAAGACAAGATCAGGCCTCTTCGTATGGGTTCTTTGAGGCCTGCAACAAAGACTGTCGATAACATTTGGGTGTGGACCTTGTTGTACAAACTGAAACCCAGGATGGTGAAAGTTTGGGATAATCTGGAAGGATATTTCTCAACAGATTCTGTCTTATCTTGAATGATATCGTTAATACAGGTTGCCTGATCGGCTAATTTGTCTTGAGCCCACGCTCTGAGTTGGTCACAAAATTCAATACCTGAGGGGAAATCGGATGCTAGAGAAGCTTCTTTCTATAATAGGCCAATAGGCATCCCCTGCTTTAATTTCGCAGAGACTAAACAAATCACGCCATGCGACGGAATAGTTTTTTATGGATTTGAGCAATCCTTCGATAGATGGGCATGGGCTGTTTCTCTGGGACTGGGAGAGAAGCCACCAGGGTCGCGGCTTGGGAAGAGTTTAATGAGACATACATTAAGGGGGCTCCGTCTGTACGGAAGGGGACCCTAGGGTGCCCATCGTGTGATCTAGTGTGGTGCACATTATGGGGTTGTGGAGGGTTAGCCCCGAATAGGCTACCATCGTCAGGAGGGATCTGATAGTCATGGGTGCTGGCATTGTCAAAGGAATCAGGGGCCTGTGCCACACCGCTCGTGCCGTAAATGGAGAGGGTATGTCGGGGATGGGGTGGTAGTAGCTGGACTCCCTGGGGAGTGTGTGTGGGTGAATTTAATAGAGACACTACGGGATCACTAGCAATGGCAATCTAGCAATGGCAATCATGGCGGGGATAGGCGCACTGGTGGCGGCCATGACAGGGGCAGAGACGGAAGTGGAGACAGGGGTGGGAGAGGAAACGGCCATGGGATGGTGGGAGGAGAAGTGACAACCATGATGGGCGGGCGAGGCAGAGGCAGGAAATGAATGTAAGGTAAGGACGGAAGTGACGGGAGTAGAGGGAGGAAGTGGAGTAAGAGCGGAAATAACGGGGCAGGAAGTGGAGGTGGAGTAGAGGTGTGAATGGCGGGAGACGGAAGTGAAGGAAAAGTAAGGGCGAAAGTGACGGGATCAGGCGAGAAAGAGGTAGGTGGACCAGGGGCAAGTGTAATGGGGACAGGAGGGGGAGACATGGTAGGGGCGGGCATAACGGGAGCAGGAAGGCGAGGCATTGCAGGGGTGGACAGGGAAGGCATAACAGGGGTGGGGGAATACATAGACCCATCTATGGGGAGGAGGCCAGGGAGGTGGTGCCTGTTTGTGTTGGTGACTGGACGGAGACCACGGGAGTTGGGCTGGTCCCCTTTCCTTTGTGCCAGGCACCATCACAGGGCGGTGGCTGACTCTCACTTTCAGTAATTTCAGCAGTACCAACATTTTCATCATATACATACACTCTCTGTCCTCCAAGGTCTAATTCTTCCTCTATCCACCCCTCTTGTTGAATCACACTGGCTCCTCAAAACCAGGCCTCAGCCACCTTAGTTAGGTTATTGACCTGCGCCGTTATTATTATTATTGTCCTGAATCTACGCCAACCTTCTGGCTGTAACCGTCCGCTGGAAGACTGGCTGTAATACCGCATATCTTAGCGATCTTCTTCACCTTACTCACTGCTTCCTTACCTGCCCTTTCTCTCACAATATCACAAGCTAGCCAGCCCTTAGCGGGCTTTGCATGCTCCTGCCCCATTTCTCTCTACACAAGTCATCATGAGATAGAGATAAACAGAAGGAGGAACGTCTACAGTGCTAGACTGCCACAAGATTTCGTGCATCTTCCCTAAATGTAGACTAGTCACTGGATCCGCCCACCTGAGGTGGCCACGGATTGGAGCGAGGCGAGTAGTGCGTGACTAACACTTCTCTGGACAAAGGGATAGAGAAGAGGAAGAGAGAGAGAGCAAATAAAGAAACACACGAATCAAAGGGAGACCAAATCACACACACACGCAACAGCTAATAATAAATTCTACATAACCCTGTCTCTGCTGGACAGTAAATCAACAATAAAAACTGCATTCCCTGTCTCACCAGACAGTATAGCTAACAATAAAAACTGCGTTCCCTGTATCACCGGACAGTATAGCTAACAATAAAAACTGCAGTCCCTGTCTCACCGGACAGTAAAGCAACAATAAAAAATGCATCCCCTGTCTTACCGGACAGTAAAGCAACAATAAAAACTGCGGTCCCTGTCTCACCGGACAGTAAAGCAACAATAAAAACTGCAAAATTCCCTCCCCTTTATGCAAAACTCCCTCCCCTTTATGCAGGAGGCAGATAGTCAATATACAGGTTCTTTACAAAGGGACTCCGGGCAAGCTATTTACCTGTCTTTGGTGCCCTCCGGCAGCCGGTGTAGACACAGAGCCAAGACAATCACAGGGACAGGAGATATAGGCAATGTGCTGATGCAGTCATTACCGTATATTCAGAGGTGATCAATCTTCATCCCGTCTCTGGAGGTATCGGGTCACAGGCTCGGTGCCCCATGTTGGGCGCCAAATGTTGTGGATCAAACCAAGTGTTTGTTCATTTGAATATCTGCCCCTGTCCAAATTATTTAAAATATGTGCATGCACACTTGAAGTAAATCACACCAGACACAAGTTTCAGGTTAATAAAAAAACTTCAGAATGTTTACTTGGGGGGGGGGGGCGGCAAGTCCCTCATAAAGGCAGAAATACATCATATGCAAAAATTTAGATAACAGAAAGAATACATCTTTAATTGCTTAGGTGCTAAGTGTCTTATCTATTGCACATCCTAGAAGGCGTGATGTCACCTTTTTCTCTGGATTTTACTCCATATACGGGCACCATCTTGTTACACAATGTAGTTAGTCAATGGGAGGGGTTGCTCTAGCAGCCATTTTGAGTAAATATTGAATACAGGTTTGCACAGTAAATAGGCATTTTACTAATACTATTGTACATCCATAACAATTACATATCATTTTATTCAGGAGAAAAAGGGCTTTCATTTCACATCAACTATTCCTATATATAACAATTTATCATGAATAACATCTAGAAAAGTGTGAGAAATTACGATTTTTGTTTTTAATTTTTTTAGTTTTGTGTGGCATTTTAACTGTAAATGTCATAATACTGTTAGCTATTACTGCAATAAAACACACATATTTGTATTCAGCGATGTCTCACTAGTACAATAGTACCCCCCATGAACAGGTTTTATTGTGTTTTGGAAAGATAGAGGGTAAAATATAGAATGTTCCATTTATCAGTTTATATACATTGAAATTTGACAGATTAGTAATGTTGTCTTTGAGACCGTATGGTAGCCTAGGAATAAGAATTACCCCCATGATGGCATACCATTTGCAAAAGTAGGCAACCCAGGGGAATTCAAAATTGGTTAAGTCCATCTTTTTTTAGTAGCCACTTAGTCACAAACACTGGCCAAAGTTATATGTGTTTTTGTGTGAAAAATGCAAAAAAGAAATATGAACACTATCTTTGCCTAGTGTGTGTGACTAAGTGGCTACTAAAGACTGGACATACCCCATTTTGAATTCCCTGGGTTGCCTACTTTTGCAAATGGTATGCCATCATGGGGGTAATTCTCACTCCTGGTCTATCATACGGTCTCAAAGGCAAAAAACTGAAATGCAAGCCTTACATTTGACTCTCTAACTTTCCAAAACACCATAAAACCTGTACATTGTGGGTACTGTTATACTCGGGAGACTTCACTGAACACAAATTTTAGTGTTTCAAAACAGTAAAACATATTACAACAATAATATGAAAGTGCCGCTTGTGGGAGAAAAATGCAAAAAAACATCAGTTTCACTGACAATATCATCTTTGTAATACAATTTACCATTTTGAAACACTAATAATTGTGTTCAGCCAAGTCTCCCAAGTAAAACAGTACCCCCTATGTACAGGTTTTATGGTGCTTTGGAAATTTTGCAGGGTTAAATATAAGGCTTGAGAATTAAATTATCTGTACTTTCTGGCAGGGTTGTAAGGCACATCCCTCAAATTTTAATTAATAAACCCACATTACAAAAATATATACATAGAATTTTAATATATATGGAAGACTAGGCCTGTAGTTTTGGGAGGAGCATGCTTTCCCTACTTAAGGATCGCGAGCCCCCTCCTCCTTATCGTTGTTGGTTTGGTGATTTGCATACCTGGATTTCCGGCTGCAGCAGATTGCTTATCTTTCCTCGTGGATACCTTACCTGCTCTTAGTGTCTGCCATTCCTGGTTTGAGTGTTCCAACCGTCCAAGGCCTCCGTGACATTTCCCCTCTTCTCCGGTCGTTACCGCTGTCTCGAAGCTGCAGTAACAGTGAGTTGGTTGACCTTTGCGACTCTGGAGCGGGTGCACAGTGTCATCATGGGCCAACTCTATTCTCATACTTACCTCAATTTCATATGCCTTTTGTGAAGTCTTTTGTTAACTTCCATTTGAATTTATGGTTCGGTAGTCTGTTTAATTATTTAACTGCTTGTCGGTTCGTATACATTGGCTTTCGTGAGGTTGTGCTCACATGTTTGGCCTTTAGTTTATATGCATGAACGTTACTTACGATTCGTATGACATGTCTGTTATAGGGTTCGGTTATACTGGAGTGTTCGGTTGTTATGTGTCTCTTTGCCTCTCTTTGGGGCCGTTTTGTATAATTACAGCCGAATGCCCTATTATAGTAATAGGTATTCCTTGAGTCCATGCGGACATTCGTATAATTGTATTTATATGCTTGATAGGCTGCTGGCCTCTAGTGGACATAGGGGAGTACTGCAGGTTTTAAATTTCTGATCGAATACTTTCTGTTTAAATTTAATTGAGCAGCGCATTGTTGCTAGATTTTGTTGTGCCTATTAAATATGTTGTAACAACATGTTTTATAGGTTGCCGGACTTGAACCATCCTTTTGGCTTTGCCTCTGAGGGTTTTTCAAGTCTCATAGGTTCTGGTTGACTCAGTTTCAACTGTCCAACTCGCTTTAGGTGGGTCCTTTTTATTTTTTGTCAATTAGTAGTCAGTTATGCTCTCTTGAAGGTTTTAATATTGGTGGTATTATATATTACAGATTGAAGTCACTCTGCCATTTCAATATCATTTCCTCTCTTTCGATTTCTACAATTTCACATCGGTTAGTGGTTTAGATTTGTCTTTTGGATCCACAATCTGACTCTCACTGCCCAGTTAACCTAATTGTTCATTTTTATGTTATTAGGTACTAGGCCCTACAGATTACTAATAGGTTGGACCGTTTGGATGCTAGTGATAGGCCAGTGTCACCATCTGGATTGGTTACTCCAGAACCTACTGGTCTCTCAGGCACCCTGACTGGTAAATTAATTTGTCGACTACAGAACCCTAGTATTATCAAACCAGCTCACATGGTACCAGCTAATATTAAGAAGGATATCTTGGAAGACAAGGATGTCAATCTAGTTTCGCTGCTGATTGCCTCCCAAGATATTCTGGAGAACAAGATGTATTCCTATGGCGATGCCTCTGTTGTACTGAAGGCTAGGGACCCCTAACTCAATTCCTGAGTTCGTCCTGGCCTTTGGTATTTATAGGGACTTGGTGTGCTCAGTTTATCACTAGCGCAGAGAGAAATTTGATCTGTATTTACACAAGTTGGTGGACCTGGGGCATAAGTATGGAGGTACATCATGTTATGATTACCACTGATCATTCTCTGTGAAGGGGTCTGCAGCTCTGACTCAGTTTAATTTTCAGACGGACTGGAGCCAGTTGGACATGGAGCTGTTTTGCATGCACTTCACGGGCCTCACGTCCCCAGTTTGTGGTATTTGCTCTTCGTTTTTGCTCACATACAACAAACCTATGTCCTAATAACCCGGGTGGGTGCTACCTTTCCTTTTCTGACCTCCTACACCTGAGAAGGTGATTAAGGACAAACTTGGTCGTAATATTGTTTTTCTGGGTAAATGCCAGATTTGCCATAACTTAAAGCATAAGAATACAGGTTCCTGTGGCTTTAGTGCTTGCCCGTTATTGCATGTGTCTTCTCTTTGTTTTAGAGCACATGCCAAAAAAATTTGTCCAAATAAATTGTTTTCCAAACCCTACATGGTCTCAATCAATGTGACTCGGTTAATCATCCCTCACCCCACTTGGTAGAGTTTTTGGTTACTGGATTCATGGAAGGGTTCCATACGGGAATCATTTACATGCCATTCGGCATTGTAGAATGTAAGAACCTACTGTCCGCCCTTGCCAATCCAATAGTGGTTAACAATCTGTTACAGACTGAATTGGATCGAAGTTTCCTACTTGGGCCATTCAGTTCTCCACCTTTCTCAGTATGGAGAACTAACCCTATATGGGTGGTCTTTGGTAAAAGTTCAGCCAAGCAAAGGTTGATTGTCGACCTCTCTGCTCCCCACTCTTCCACGACCCCCAGTCTGAACTCTCTCATTCCTTCAGAGGAATTCTCCCTTCAGTATGCCACCATAATGCCATTGACGCAATTCTGACTGCAGTGAAGGGGGCCTGGCTCAGTAAGACTGACATCATTAACGCCTTCAAGCTCCTCCCAATCCATCCTTCTTTGTGGCATCTACATTGTGTTAAGTGGCAGGGTTCTTACTATTTTTCACTTGTCTCACTTTTGGTGCAAAAAGTAGCCCCAGGATTTTTGATACCTTCGCTGAGACTTTATGCTGGCTACTGCTCATGTCTGTAGATGCCCCACAATTATTTACTATTTAGATGACTTTTTGACTATTGAGAGTAACTTATTTCCACCCAGTAGCCTGAGGACCACAATCCAGCTTTTCCAATACCTGGGGTCCCCGTCTCCCTAAAAAAACAGAAGGACCCAACACGTTGATTAATTTCCTGGGTAGATTCGGTTAGTATGCAAGCCAGTTTGCATAGAGATAAGATTGAATGCATCCTATCCAGCATCAATCTATATCTCTCAGCGGGAAGTTGTAATTGAACATAATTACAGTCTGTACAAGGCTCCTTCAACTTTGCCATGAAAATTATCCCACACGGCAGTGCTTTTATATCTAGACTGCTCAATCTGTTTCCCTGCTTTCGATCTGATATTTCCTGCATTTCACTGGACGTTCCGGTAAGCTCGGATTTACGCATGTGGCAGGAATTTCTCATGAGATGGAATGGGAAAAGCATGTTTATCCCTTTACTTGCCTTTGACTCCGTTACTATTTTTACAGACGCAGCTGCCACCCTAAAGCTTTGCGGCTATTTTTGGTGATAATTGGCTTTGGGGGATTTGGCCTATTGAAGTGTACAGGTTTTCTACCACTTCTGCCCTATTCGAGCTCTATCCTATTGTAGCTGCTACAGTAGCATGGGGAGCAGCATGGTCAGGTCAGGTCAGGAATTCCACAAAGCATTACCGAAGGCAGCCCTGGTAGCTACCCTGGCTCCGTCATGGCAGGTCATGACATTGGATTCGGAGATCTGTTAACTCATGGCAGACTCCTTTCACAATTAGCTATGTCTGACAATACTAGAAAATCATACCACAGGGCATTCAGTGTTTATAAAAGATTCTTGTTTGACTTTCAGGTTGTAAATAAATATTCTGTGGAAACTATTGTAGCTTTCACTTCTTTTTGACACCCTTAAATTAAAATTATCTTACAACACCATCAAATTATATCTGACAGAAATACAACACCATATACTTACACATTGGCCATACAACCACAGTTTTCTATCATCTTATCAAATCAAAACCATACTAAAAGGCATTTAGAATCCAAACCCCACACCACCATCTTCTAGATCACCTATTAATAGTCAACTATTCCAATCATTATCTGACCTCATGGATACAACTCCTTTCAAATTACACACTAATCATGTAATTAAAACCGCTATATACTTAGATTTCTTGGGTACGTCAGAGTCGGAGAGTTCACCACTTCAAACATCACATCCCAAGACGCCATTAAGAGATTGTAAAAATACAAGGTCACTACATACTATCCCTCAACCACACTAAAACCACGCCAAAAAATCAACTAGTAAAAATCCCCTATTACCCTACCGGCAACAAATGGTGCCCGGTACAGGTACTAAATAAATTCCTAACCATTGTTCCCTGACCAACTTTTGTTTACCTTACATGGCAATGCTCTCAGCACTAGTAAATTCATGCTCTATATTAAAGTATTATTGGCAAGGTTAGGCCTTAATCCATACCACTACTCAGGACACTCATTCCGCATTGGAGCAGCCACCACTACTTCCTGCAGAAACATACCGGTACATATTATCAAGACATTGGGATGGTGAAATTCATCGGCATATACCAGATACATACCTTAACCAGTACAGGAAATACGTGAAGCTTTTTGTAACATGAACATGTGATATATACTATATGATTGTCAAATTGTAGGCTGAAATAAATCTTGTATGGTATACTCTTTTTGCCCTCTTTTATTACAGGCCTACTGGTTTCGGCACACCACAACCAACTTGTCATATTTTCTATTTTGTTATATAGTATAAGTTATATAAGTTATATACTGTTATTACAGATTTCTATGCCCTGAACACAAATGGAAGG